TATTTTAGGGGGAGCTGACAAACTCAGAAAACCCAGTCTCCCTCTTGTCAGTGACAGTCTCCTCCCCTTATCTGACGAACTGCCCCCCTCTCTCTCTCCCTTCCTCCCTCTCTCTCTCTTTCTCTCTCTCACTCTCTCTCTCTCTCACACACACACACACACACACACACTGCCGTCAAAACATTAGAACAAATAGTAAAAGTCTCGCTTCTAGACTATAACAAAGAAACTATGAATCCGAGAGGTGTTGGACAACACAGCAGACAACACACACCCTACTTTTCTGATTGCTACACTAGTTCTTAATATATTGCTGTTGTTTTATTTGTGTCATATATAACAACTCTGTTCCAAACAGCCAAGACGATGAGTCAGTTACAGTAAAAAGCAGACTAAACTTATGGAAACTTTGGCTGAACCAACAGGCAAAAACAGCGAACAAAAACTGTCTGAAGCAAGGACAATAAAAAGTGAAGTACAATCAGTTTTCTTCTTGACTGACTTTACATTTGGACAACTACTTTCCAAAATTACTCGGCTCAGCCTCATCACATTAGATACATTTGACGTCACATCTCTAAGACAACAGCAATGGAATTTGGTTTAAAGGGCACTCCACTCGGCCAATAAAAATCTGCAGCGTCTGTTGAACAGCCAATTAGAGGAGGAAGGCGGGACCTGTTTGACTCGCATATGAACATGTCACGTGTATGTGCAGGATCAGAGGAGGTTTGGTGCCTGGGCGGTTTTTACTGGCATTAGGAAGCAGGTGCGATAGAAATCCAGCAATTATCATCTACTGTTTCAATTATGTATTTAATATGAATTGGATGAACGTGTTGCCAGGTTTATACGGGGTAACTACATGCATATGGCCAGCTATTATGAAGAAATGTAGCAATTTAAACCTATTACAAGTTAATAGGGCTACATGCAGCATGAATATAGTGTTGGAAAGTAAGTATATTTACTCAAGCACATAGTTCACTCAAGTATTTTCCCTTTTCTTCCACTTAATACGTCTACTCCACTTCAGTTTAGACACATAGACAGCTCTAACCATAGTTTAATATTTTATGTATTTATATAAAATTTTAATCTCAGATTTTGTGCAAATCTTACATTTCATACTTAATCTGTTAACGCAAGTAAGTATTCTGCTGGACTTATAATGAAGTATCTTTACATTGTGATATTGTTACTTTTAATTGAGGAAATGATTTCAATTCTCTGCTTCCACCACAGTTGGCTTCCACAAGTTGCACAAAAGCTTCACACATTAAGCTACTTGTTATCTCATAGTAAAGACATGGCCTGTTGCTTTTGAATGACTGCTTCTATATCATACGACTTCATTAGATAGGTCATAGGGCTTCACACATTACTGAATACTTCAAGTGTCATTTGAAATGTTAAACTACAGATACAGTTGCAAAGTTTGAATATAGCCACATTCTATGATTTAGAAGTAGCAGTCAAAACAATCTGGTATCTCTGCAAACAGAATCCGTGATTTGATGGCACCATGGCCCTGGCTGAATAGTGAAACAATGCGTGATTATTTAGACATCCTCTTCTAATTGCATCCTGTTTTGCTCACTAATGAAGGAAAAGGGTTTCCACAAAGTATGGCTGCTGCTGTATGTAGCTCATTTGTATTAGTCTAGTATAGCCTGATCCCTAGTGTTTTGTGCTATCTTTTCCACCAGTTAGTCCCAGTCCCAAAGGAAAAGGCTGCGTCTAGTCTTCCTCATCCCCCCTGATTCCCCAGAGCTCTAGGCCAAAGAGTCCCAACTGTCCTTAATGGCTTTTAATGTCCATATACAAAACAATTCCTGCAATACTAACCCCATTTCATATATATATATATATATATATATATATATATATATATATATGTGTGTGTGTGTGTGTGTGTGTGTGTGTGTTAAAGTCACAATAATTACATCCTTCTTATGTCATTGTTTATAACAACAAACTGCAGTAATGGTGGAATTAGAAAGATAATTGCTTAAAATGTATTAAATTTAGTCTGCATTATCCTACCCTTGGCTCTTGGCCATGCACCGGTTCAGGTTAAATGGGAGCATGCTTTATAGCCACATGAGGCGACGAGGGCTGTCTCTTTCTGCAGTTTGCCTGAGTGTTAGTCCACTTTCGCTTTACTATGTGAACTCATGCTCAAGACAAACAATATCAAATCACCCACAAATTCTACCTGCCAGGTTTTGACAGGCCAGTATAGACATAAGAGTCACTTTGTCCATTATAACCTCAGCTGAGAATAACTGCACATTACATGTATGCTAATTCAATGTGGAAGGGGAAAAAAGACTAAACCAAAAGGGAACTGATATTGTTGTTATGGTATCCATAGTGATGCTTACTTTTTACTTTAGTGCTGCCATCTGCTTCATATACACACACAAGTCCTTTATTTTGTGCCATAAGATTGCAGCTACATTGTAGGGTAATGCACTATTACTGGATAGCTTTTAAATGTTATTTGTTGCACTGTTGTTATTTTTAAAATTTCTGATGTATGCACTGAGTACCAAATGAGAGTTTTGGCAAGTTTTCATTAAGAATAAAAGGCTTATTTTTTTAATCATATCTGTAACCTATATGGTAATTATGTTGTAATACAATTATACCAAATTCATTTCCTTTAATGTGGGTTGGACCCAAAGGTGCTTATGTGGTAAAAAGGAATTATTTCCAAAATGCCTCACAAAAGCACTGATTTCAAAACGCAACGTGAGACATCAACCTAGCCCTTTCATGCATTGTTTCCACATTTGTAGACAGTTATTTTAACTCTATTGTGGGTTAATATATCAAAGTTATGTTCTAAGTCATTTGAGGACAGTGTTAGTTGACTGATAGCAACGTCGTAATACTGGTTACTCTCCAAATTTACTTTTCCAAATAAATATTTATTGCTTGATGACCTCATCAATCTAAGATGGCCGATTGTGATGACCATGTGCTAAATGCCTCAGGCATATTTGTGAAAAACCTTTAATCAAGGAGGTCATGGTAAAAAAATATATATGTTAGTATGTGCAGTAAAGTATTATTAACAGGTTTATGTTTTATAAATTCTAATTCAGAGTAAAGTGTAGTTTTATACACCAAAAACCAACTGTCCCTGTATGTGGATGTTATGCAACAGTGGAGTCAGATTGCATTAAGTTTGATTCCTGTAACCTGCTAGTATACAGTATCTATATAAATTTTTCAAAGATGTGACGAATTGTATTATATTATAATAAAACAGACTTTTAACAAATATATAAACATAAATAACAATCCAAAAGTGCATATTACAGCATTAAATGGCAACTTTTTGACTGCTCTGCGGCCTTTACAAGAAATAAGAATAAGCATTATACTCACATCCTGTAAATAAATCCGTTTTAACTAGAACTATGTAATCTGTTGTTGATTTTGAGATGAAAAACTGAGATGATTCAACACAAAGTTACATAAGGATAACAATGTAACTACAGTTATAAATATTTGTTCCTAAAATATGTGTTTTACTGTTCATTTTCAACTATTGAGCTTAAATACATAGCATAAACATAATATTGCATATTATCAGGTGGGGCATTTTACTCCTTTGTTGCATGGTGTCCACATATGTGGACTGTTAAATAATTAAAAAAAATAAAACAGAATTTCGAAAAAATGTAAATGGATTTGTTTTGTAGCCCAATTTTGAATATTAAAAAAATCCTGCATGAGAGGGCTAGAAAGATCAGATAACTTCTCTTTAAATCGATGCATAGTTGCATTCATCTAAATCTGTTCTCTGATACTTGGATAGAATTGGCTTTCTAAAAATTTATTCACATTTAATGTTATCTGCAGATCAATTTATAGGTTATGTGTTATTCTCGTCTTTTCTCTGCATTAGACAGTAACAATAGTCGTGACAAAAAAGACTCAGACAGAAACAGTCCCCAGCTGTTTTCTTGGAGTGTTTTCAATCAGTAAAGTTTGTGCTGTGTAGTGGTTCGGACTGAGTTCAGGCTGATGCCTACTGACAACAGTGTGGATGCAAATTGCTCTCAGCATCTCCTTCAGCAGCACTTTTGTGTCGACACACACCCTCCCATCTTCCCAAAGTGATGCCAGCAACAAAAAAAGTGACGATAGCAAAAAAGCAACCAACAGTAAGGAAGTAATTTAGATCAGCTCATTAAAGGTTCAGCGGGTAATATTTAGGAGGATCTATTGACAGGAATGCAATGTAATATACATAACTATCTTTTCAGCGGTGTATAAAGACCTTACATAATGAACCGTTATGTTTTTATTGCCTTAGAATGAGTCAATTCTATCTACATACACCGCCATCCTCTCACATGGACATCGCCATGTTGCACCGCAATGTTTCTACAGTAGGGAGGGGTGAGTGTGGTGTCGGAATAATCAGTCTTTTTTCTCCTCTGAAATTCTTTATTGCAAAAAGAGAAATAAAATGTACATGGGACAGGGTATTCCATATACATATTTTGCAAACATGTCATTTGTAATGGTTATAACAGTTAGTTTCCTGTCCATGTAGAGTGACCTAGATATCTGCATGTTGTTTAAATGCTCTGATAATGCTAATCCAACACATCTTTGTAGTAGCATCTACGTTGATTCCACATTTTGACTTAAGAGCACATGAACACACACTGAAGTCAGAAGAACGACTTCACAACTCGGGAAATGGGACCACCAAGGAGCACATGAATGCACCATGAGCCGCTGGTTGCAATTTACAGCCCTTACCACTAGAACTTAGACAGTGAACCTTTAAGTTTCAACATGATGCTAACATCTATGTGGTAAGATAATTTCTCAGATCCAAATAATCACACAAAAGATCAAATCTTGTATTAGATTCACTGAAGACACCTGAATCAAGCTTGAAACAATGTGAGTGTTAATTGGCATCACATTTAAATCTTGTGTCAAGACCTTTCCTATCACCTGTGTCTCACCTGTTTGTTGTTGTCACACGCCTTCACGGAACCTGTTGTCACTCTTCCCCCTACAAGTCTTGACTTTCGTTATCTCTTCTTTTCGTTCTGTCTACAAGTCTTCCTTTTCTTTCTGCTGCCTTTGTTTCACTTGCCCATTGATTTACCTCAAAGCCAGACCAGCTGGCTTTGGATGCTTCCCTCCGAGCCCTAAGAGGCCTGTCTTCACACCCTGTTCTTCCTCTTGTCCCTTGGTCTCTCTGCCGGCAGAGAGTGGGGTGAGAGAGAGGGGTGTAGTAGTTTGAAGGGTAGGACCCCAGATGGACATAGACATTTTGGGCATGTGTTATGCGATGGGGCTTGGCTCAGGGCACTATGGACCAGTCACAGCTGTCAGTCATAACTCCAGAAGGTGTTGTGGATTTTTCTTTCTTCTCACAAAAGACTGGAAAGAATACAAAGCTGTAAATTTCTAAAACATAGTGAATAGTTTTAGAGAAAATGCTTATAAGTTACTGTGCGATTCTTCAGTGTAGTCTGATTTAAAGTAAAAGTTTTCATAGTCACAATTTTTTTTCATGTAGATAACAACTGTCCTTTTTAAACTTTACTTATCGAATTGCCATGTGAGGTAGGTTTAAAATTAATGGGGGAAACCTATTTTGCATGATATAGTAAGTGATGTATTTCAACAAGTTGCAGGGACGTGCCAAATAATAGTTTGTTCCGGCAAGGCTTTGATGCGCGACAGCTGGCGTTTCCAACATCGCGCCAGACCACAAATAGACCCAGACACTCTCTCTCCAATTAAAAAAGGGACTAAAACACGCCTCTCATGCAGCAAGCTTTATTAGGCTATATAAGTCAAGTTTGATCTACAATATGATAGCGAGGAAAGAAATAGATGTTTATTTTGTAAATGAGAAAAACACAAACAGATCACTTAGACACAAAATGTTCTGAGACAACAATCCGACCACTGAGCTCTGAAATAAATGTAATTATCCGAGGCTCATTAAAACAGCCCTCACCAATCCCTGGTCCTCTACTCGCTGCACACTACACATTCAGTCATGGGACAAAGATTGCCAACAAATGCCATGCTGCGGTTTCAGTGACTTTTGAGATAACAATTCTAAAATATAGTCACCCATTACATACTCTGCAGTGTGAGTTCCTCTAGATAAGCACCAATTGGGTTTATTAAACAAAGTTAATTTGAAAGTGAAAACGTGTTCAAATCTAGAAGGGTTTTTACAGCAAAGTACTTAAAAAAGTGTTGAGTGATTTAATTGATTCCAATTCAAAGTGCTAAAATTCTCCACCCACAGTGATTTTAATCATATTGATGCTACAAAACTCTTCCAACAAAGTCGTATCTGAGGGAGACCACAGTGATGTGTTAGATAATCAAGATCAAGATCTAAAAATACTGCGTGTCTCACAGTCTGGATCTCTTCTCTCATTACCCACTGTAATTAAAAGTAACCAAGGCCTGCCGGCTCCAAATAGCATAGAATAGCACACAACTGTTAATAAGAAGGAATGACACTTGAAATGAAAACGCTCATGATATCAGTTCGCTGAGGAAAGTGGAGCAGATAACACAGCGCTATGGGAACTTCAGTGAATGTGGGTCAGTAGAGGGGCGTCCACTTTGGTTTAGTGGTCAACTGCAGTCAAATGTTTTTTTGCCAAACAAGACAATGCAGTAGCAGTGTTATACAGGTTTAATGATTGGGATGACTTCATGGGTGTTCTATGATGTGTTTGTCTGTTTATATCTTACTTCTGTACAACTTTGACTCTCTGCAGTAGGTTTTGTGGAGCTTCTATGCTATTCTTCCTGAGGCAGAGAACGACAGCATACAAAGGTCCTTATGATGAGCTGATGATCTCTCTTGGGATTACAAGTCTCTTGGGTTTCTTAAAGTATTCTTCTCTGTTTATCACACTGCTGAATGCTTGTGCAGTAGCCCGAACATCCATCCTGTCTTGTTTGCTTGATGGGCCCCTTTTTCCCCCTGCAGATGTACAGAGATCCAGATAATAGCACAAGCTCTTTAATTATCTCCAATATTCACATGAGCCTATAGCTCCATTTATAAAATGCAGTCTCCGTCGTACTGAGCTCATTAAAAATTGAACAAGGTCAGGAATGAAACTGCTCTTACCATTACTCATTTTGTCCCTAATTTCAAGTATTATTTAATTAATCACCTGGAATGACTCAAATAATTCAAAATGTCAGAGTTTGCTGGTCGATGTTAGCGAATTTTAATACGTACAAACATGCATTTTAATTTTTATAAGCTAAATGGAATAAGACACTTTCTCTAATGTCTTCCTTTAAAGAGGTGGTATTATGCGTTTTGGCTTTTCCCCTCTCCTTTATTTAGTTATATCTCTTTTTTGTGCATGTAATAGGTTTGCAAAGTGAAAAAGTCCAGCCCAAAGGGAGTTCCCATCTCCCACAGAAAGCACTGCTCTGAACCGCTTGAAAACAGCTCGTTTGTAGTCCAGCCGTTTCCCTTCCTTCCCTGTGACATCACAATGAAAACGCGTCATAAAGCTTGCCAAGCAGCTAGCAGGGTCAGGCACGCCCTCAAACCAAGCTAGTCTAAGCGGGGGCCCTTTGATTTTAGATTTTAGTTCCACTGCACAGTACCAGTTCGATTTGGCTCGACTCGCCATTGTTTGGTTTTCCATTGAAGAAATGTTGTACCTGTACCTGCTTCCAGGTATTTTTTTTCGTATCACCTCAAGTGAAAACATGACAGACTGCTGAGTGGTCAGAGAGAATCGTCACTATTCACTGCATCATCATTGCATGGGCCAGAGGCCAACAACAGAAAGTTTTATATTTTACAGTTTTCGTATGGAATTTCATCACTAAATCCACTTCTGAGAAGTTTTTTGAGGTGAGAAATCAGCTGTGTAGATTTCGAACATTGACAGTTTTATGAGAAGTGATGGCGGAACAAAAATGTACTTGAATATTTTCAGAGTTGAGGAGCTCCGCAAGTGGCTGCGGGGGAAGCCTGTACCAAATCGTGGGAGGAGCGTGTGAGGCCGGCCAGCCGCTCGCTCACAGAGCCCTCTGCTCCCGCTGTCACACAGACCGCTGCAGCAACAACGGCAGAGGAAAACACAGCTGGAAGGTTTTCATATCTGAGGATTTTTCATTATCTGTCTTTACATTCTGAGTAATGTTGAAACGTTTTAACTTAAAAAAGAGAAAGCTGTGTGGATCGCTGTGTGTGTGTCGCATTGAACATTATGTTGCTGCAGTTGTGTGTGGCGTCGCTATGACGACAAGCTACGTACTATCTCTGGGTACTACCTGCAACGGAAAACGGAGCAGGGCAGATTAGAGTCGAGTCTATCAATTTGCGCTATGGTAGCAGTTTTCGGCAAGGCAGCATAGATTGTCAGAACACCGGCAACAGTTCAATGTTTAGTCCTAAAAGACGATGCAACTTTGACTCTGTTTGGGCCTGGAAATTCACAATCACAACCTGTAAGTATTATTTATTGGTTGTGAATTATATTTAAAATAAATACGGCAACGTAACTTCACAGACTGTTCAAGTGCGGAGTTGTTGTAAACGTTGGCTAACACAGCTAAAGTTATAACTATAATGCTAATGTTACACCCAATGTGAAAGCTAACGTTCAAATTGTTTGGCCAATTTTTATGTAAAATTGAGTTGAAATATGTCGATTTTTGTAGTGGTTTATGGTAAGATGTGGAACAATGATGTTGTGTGGCTGTGGACTTGTGAGTAACTTATACCATCTGCTGGGTTACGGTCGCAATCTGAAGCGGTTTTGTTTTGGATCACACTACCTTGTTTCGACCCGCCTTTCTCTGCTTCTGATTGGCTAGTAGTCCTTTCCTGGGAACTGCGCATGTGCAACTCCCAACAAAGATTTTGTACAAGTAAGATGCAGCACTCTGTAGCTCAAGAGCGGAGCGTACAACACATAGGGTGAAAAGAGGAGCTGCAGCAATGTGCAGTATGAGAAAAATATGGTGTTTTTTGAAAATTAAACCATGTAAACCTGTTCTGGTACAACCCTAATTAAGATTTTGAACCTGAAAATGAGCATAATCTCTTTAAAAAAATACATTTCTGTGGTTCCATTTATTCAAAGAAGAAAAACAACATTCATGATGTCTAGATGATGCCTTTTCTCATTTTTAGGGGGGAAACACTGATGTTCTATGAGGCATAACGATCATTTTGTACTTAAGCATTCACTGTTGGCTAATTTCACAGATTTTCTGACTTGATGATTGCATCATAAGCGAAAACCTTGCTGCATGTATGTGTGTGTGTGTGTGTGTGTACGTGTGAGTTTCTGACATCGCCAAAGCCAGTCAGCAGGTGCCATCACTTCTCATTCCCACCATGTACAGTGTAAAGACATGTTGAGGATGAGCAGGATCCTGCCAAAGGGAACGTGTGGGAGAGACCACTCTAATTTCTGCCTTTCAGCCAGTTCTTCTTGGCATTTTAGCTACGATTCCACATCAAGCAAACGATAACGTAATTCATTTTGTCAGACTGTATAGCAAGAAAGCTAAAGATATCTGAATATATTGTCACTGCTTACCTGTAGGCAGGGTTTAGAGAAGACACAGTGTTCTACACTCCGCTCCAATGTTAGACTTTTCTAACTGATAGGTGACATGTTAATGAGGCCTAAAATACTGTGTACAGTTGGTCCACATTAAAAAAAACACATTCTGAATTACTACTACACTACTGCCTTTAAACACTGAGCACAATCTTACATGCATATTCCATCACAATGGTCTTATTGCTGCACGGTTAATTTTTAAAAACCTAGCCTATCACACAATTGTAGGTAGTAGGTGCCCAGTTCCCACTAAGCATTATGACTCATACCAGGCACTGAGCATCTATCCAACTATAATCCACAAGAGATAATTTGGTATTCATGTTTTACAAATGTGCTTGAGAAAAATCCCTAAATCTTTTTGGCAAGTGCAGTCGAGAAAGTCGTGCGAGCATGTCATCCACCATGAAAAGGCAGCGGGATCGTTGAGTAAAGCAGGGCATTGTCTCCTGAATTCAGCCTGAAAGACACTGCCATCATCAGCTTTCTTTGTTACAGACTTTGTCTTTCCAGTATTTACTGCTTTCTCAAAGGTAAATACAGGCTTGACACAGTGGGGCACATGCAGTTTTCCTACAACAGGTAATAAATTTGCGTGTCAGGCCTGCGCGTCACA